TTATTTGTATAAATTCGAGCGTTAGCCTTTTGTGTACTCTTGGTTAACAAGTCCTCGGGAACTGGGTAGTTGGATGGGGGGGTGGAGAGGGGAACAGGAGAGTCACGTGGGAGAGTCACGACTATGCTACGCTATATCTCACCCCGCCATTCCTTGCTTTGTCAGATCATTTTGAAGCTTTGGAATCGTGTCTACCTCACTCTCCTACTCGATAAGAGGGAGCAAACAACCAGAAATGGCGTGGCATAATGGTGACGCCGAGTGGCCCCCTACAATCATGCTTAGCACGAGGATTTTTGACCATTTGTTTTCCAGATCCTCACGATGATGCAGTTTCTTCTGCCTTGTGAAAGTGGCGAGAAAGTCACCCTTGGTCTAACAGTACTGCTCGCATATTCCGTGTTCAGCTTCAACATAGCAGAGAGCATGCCTGAAACGTCGGAAGTGATCCCACTGATCGGTGCGAATCACGCTCATTTCTCCAGGAGCCCCGTCCGGCGCAGTTCGGTTTGAAAGGGGCATTTTGCTGGTTTCCATCGATCACTACCTGTTCCTTTTGTGGGAACGTGTAAATTCTGTAAAGCTCCGAAATAGCATGAGCTTCGTTTACACTTGGCGACAGGACTCACCAAGGAGTGACGAGTAATCCAAAGGGATCTGCGAAGTGCAAAGTGCCCCTCCCAAACCGAACCGAATCGCGCTAGCTCATCCTGTCTACCACGTAGTACGTATCTTTAACTTTATAGCTATCTACCTAATGGCAATTATGGGTATATCAGCGCTGTCGGTGAGCTTCTCGGTGTTCGTTTTGAATCTGCGTCATGGAGCCGACTATTCTGACAGGTTATTGCATTTACGCAACAATTCCTATTTTTTTTAATTTTTGATCACCAGTTAGGGGTTAGAATTAAAGTCATCCACGTAACCAAAGTTCAGAAGTTATGGATATCTGTCATTCCATTATTCTACATTTCGATCGTCCATGGAAGCTTGCGAGGAATTTCCCAACTGCGCGCTTTTGCAAAATCAATACCTATTTCAGAGCAAGCGCATATTTCGAAATTGGCTGCGGTGTCGACCTCCCCACTATTAGGTTGGGAGGAAAGTCCTGCGACACTTTGATTAATGCCAGAAAAGGACGAAAACATTCGAAAGCTTTCACCTCTGCTTAGTGGAAGGTTCTCCGAGGTCTGAAGATGTTATAATTCATGACTTCGTGAAAGCTTTCAAAGCTAAAATGTCCCCTCAAACGGTCATTATCTATCCGACATAGCCGCAAATTAAGTTCCTGTAAAAAATCAGCAGCATCTCGTACATCTCGTTCACATTTAGGTCGTTAAAGGAACCATACCAATCAACAGAATCCAAATAAGCACAGATTGGGAAGGTAACGCCTTCTGACGTCTCGTTGACCACCTCCTCAACACGCTCGTCCACAATACACCGAATGAATGCAGCATGGCACTAGAAACGCGATTGATGGTTCCACTAAACCGTGTCAAATTTTGGAATTCAGAACAGTGGTCCAAACAGGTATTTGCTGTCTCGAGTTCCAGGCCACCGTGAACGGATCTGGAAGCCATTATTTTGATACTATAGAATAACAGTGCCCCACACTCTTTTTGCCCACGATTCACGAGTATTTTTCGGATGTACACCTATCACTAGATGTTCTGACCCGACTTCTCCAACAGACTTGTACGCTGAGGCCTTTCAAGGGGGCTAAGTTTGGCGTTGCGTCAGACTTTTCTCCACCAGTTGTAGTGGCCCCCGACCTCCACAATTGGTGGAGAACATTCTGGCTCCGCGTTACAAGCGTCCGCAGCGAACAAGATTGTAAATACTGCATATGTGAGAAGGACAGAAAACGAGATAAAGTTGGACGACGTTATTCAGCCTTTATACTTTACATCTAAGGTGAATAGTTGGGAGTGTTCTATGCTCAAATCCATAGCATTACGGCGCTTTAGAACGGTTTACTTACCAAACTAGCAATCGAACGCAAAATGTGACTTTCCACATCTCTGTCCATGATAGGAAAATCCAGAATATGAATTTTTCCACACTTGCGTTTAGGATAGAAAAAAGCAAGCAAAGGTCGGTCTCAGGTGAGCGAAATATGGATGATATCTGAATGACAGGCATCATTTTAGAATTCCCCGATGGCTGGAGATAATCGGCTTCTCCATACTTGCCCCAGTGTTCGGCGGCACACCATCCAGAAGTAGATCGAAAAGTATAAGTGCTCAAAACAAATGTTCGGTCCGATCGGATAGCTCGAACTGTGACGATCTCGTTAGCAAAGACCTTGTGGGTGATTCCATTTGATAAGCAGATATACATTACAGAAACCTTGATTTTTCAGATAGATCGGGTTGGAGCCGAACAAGAGTTTGAACGGCTTGTGGCTCGTTGGTCGCAACTGGCTAACATTTTCGATCGTCTATTCTTCACCGTCGTCCTGACTCTGAACGGCGGCTCTACGCTGTTCCTTTTGATCGTTGCACCTAGCTTTGACACTCCCACCCTCTATAATAGAGTGTGGGAGTTGTAAAAAAACATGTCATCTGTTGTTTCTGTTTGGGGTGAGCCTGAAAGAGGAAGTCATAACCGTAGAATTTCAGCTGCATGGTCGGCAAAAAAACTATGAAGTTTGGACTGAACATCAGCTGAACACACCGATGAAAGCCGCATAATCTTAACAGTAGAGAAATAACGTTGACAGAGCTTCATGGATGCTTACAGGGAATAAAAAGTTGCGAATATTTCCCTTGGAACAGCCACGATAAATTAGTAATCTATTCAAAATGGTTACAGGGTACTTGTGTAGTGAATAATTGAATTGAGAGGAATAACCCGTATACCATGCAAGAGCACTAGTACATATATCACTCACACCTTGATTCATTGTATTTTATTTATGACATTCCACAGGATGTGTCCTTGGCAAAAGTTTGGGAAAATTGAAATAAATCATAGAGGGTAAAGAGTAAAGTCTTCGCCGTTTATCAATCCCTTCGTGGGATGCGATGCACGCATTCTATTAGGTTGACCGGAAAGTTTCCCGCCATTGAATTGATCCAACGGCCAAGCTTTGCGACTTTACCAATCTTCTCCAGCCCAGATTCAACAGTTGATTGGGCATGGCCGAGCATCGCTGCAAGTTCCCTGGTAGTGGCGTACGGATCCTCTTCCACGGTGGATTGCAGCAACTTCAAGTCTAACTCCATCGGCCGGCCGGACCTTGGAGCATCTTGGAGAGAAAAATCTCCTTTCTTGAACTTGGCCATCCAGGTCTTGCACGTGTCGTAAGAGATAGCGTCAGCGCCATATGTATCCACTATCTTGGCTTGGGCTTCCTTGCGTTTAAGCCAGACTGATGAAGGAAAAGAAGACAGTGCCTCAGGTGCATCCTGTCGGGTTGAAACTTGGGCGGCATTTTGGAATCCAAATGCAAGCTGGGTGAGTGTGAGGTAGTGATGTGAAAGAGTCTCTTGCGTGCTTCATGCACACCCCACGATAAGTCATAAACATACATGCAAGGCTAATATGGTGCGATCAAACACGTGGCGGGAAACTTTCCGGTCAACCTAATACTTCCATTCAGAATCGTAGTGGCGTGTTGAATGCGATGTGGCCTATACAATGACTTGCGGGGACTAGCCGATGTACAAGTTAGTGTTCTCATCATCCCAGATGAATCTGGAAGCCAATTTACGTCCTCGGAGGGCAGGAGGTTGGTTGGCCTAAGCGGGATTCGACCCAGGATTTGAACACAGGGTCGCGCGCGTGATGAGCGCGCCACTTATCACTACCTCCTGCGTAAATTGAATCGTAGTCAGACTGAAACCTTCAGCTGTCATAAAACACCTCGGACTTATGGTTCGTAAAGCAGGCAACCAACAGTAGTTATACTGACAAATGTTCTCTTCAAGAGTTGGATTGCAGAGGCGTAGAGGTATGAAGACTCCGCTAAAAATCTGAATACGTATTCTTCAACGAGTTCGCAGTTTTCTCAATCCAGCTACGGAGGTGGTATACGACTGGGCCATTTTTAAGTTTTTAGATACAACACCACACAATTTACAGTACCAACATCACATCGATGTGGGCGGGCCAAGTTGTATACGTTCTTTTTCACCCACAGGTGGTTCCGCTATTCCAGAAAGTATGCAAGCGCGGACGGGGCATACAGTACGCATGAAACAGGAAAATCACCAAAAGTCAACCGCCACTCCCACAACGCCAAAACGTAAATACGACCCCCCTCCCAAAAATGATCAAATACGACCCCCCCCTTTACAACGTCCATGAAGCGAGAAAAATCAACTATCAAAATAATTTTTCAGCTCAAATACGACCCCCCCTATACGACCCCCATTAATGGGGATTCCCCAGCAATGATGCGCCCTGCGTTCGACGATTCGATTCGACGTAGGCGATTCCTTGTTTATGCTTCACAGCTCACCACTAAGCCTCCACCCTACTGCACCATTACAAACTTTACCTGCTCATAAGTTGCTTGTGAAATGCAGGTTGCAGTTTTGCTATCTATATTTGTAAATAACTCTATAGACTCTATCGATCTACCCTGGTCTCCATTCAAAGTTCCATGGTAAATTGACGGACGTCCCTGGTAAGCAGTTTTGTTTTTCTGCTGTTTCGATACACTAGCGGACGTCTCTCAATTTATTTGTCCTTTCTGCAAATCCCTTTAGAGGCAAAACCCGCGATTATTCGCCGCCTCAGATGGATTATGGGGTTTAATATAGACGACAAGGGGTTGAGTAACTCGACAGTGAAGAAAAAAAAGCACAAAAACATGCCACCTGCCCTAGATAGAACCCCATTTCGATCTCAGTTGTACGTGCCCAATTAACTCTATCTCCCACACTACGCCCTCATACGCACAGCTGATTCACCGATAAGAACTCTACGATCGTACAAGTGACGATTTTCATGCTTTTTCGTCCTGCAATCTCGTTTTTCACTGAAAGCCGGCATTGGAGGCGGAGTCTGGAGGCGGAGTCACTGGAAAAAAGCAGAGAACCAACTGGTGCTTATATTGCGCTATAGCGCCACTCCCTTAGAATTTGGTGCAAGGTTGTTCGTCGCTGACCACTCTAATCTCCTGACGCCATATTTTCAACTTCGATAACTGATCGCGGACCGTGCCTTAAAGTGAGTTATTTATTTCTACTCTCTGAATTAGTTCAAATGTTCTGAAATGTGATTGTGAGTACTTGTGTTCGAAATTTCGTTGTAGTCTCCTCGCACGAGATCGCTCGTGTAATAAATATTAGTTAGCCAAACAAACGGTGTGTCCCATTCTTTTCGCAGATGAACCGACTCGACCAATTCAGTGCGAACGTGAACTCGACCAATTCAGTGCGGCCAGCCACATGCATAAGCAGGGCCAAGGGCGCTGCTCAACTGCGTCCACTCAGTTCTGCTAGTTGCGTGTTCGCTGCGAAACTTTAGTGTCGACTCGAGTGCCTTACCTTGAAGATTGCACGCTTGGAGTCGTGAGCATGCACCGGGATCACCACCTTCAGCCGCGTTGCCGTGCACTTTCTTGTGGAGAAAATGACACGGTACTGTAGACCCATCCATCTCGTACATCGAAATGACCGTCTTCAGTGGTCAGGAGGGTACCGTTTGCCTCTAAACTATGTCGGTTGAAGGTGACCAAGGGGACCATCAAGTATTGACACACATTTCAGAAGTCCGTTTGGAATCAGCCATGACAGCAGAAAGGCGGGGTAGGGTGGCAAAATTGCGGTGCGCGCGCAAGATCCGACGTCCGCGGATACCTAACGGCTTCCTTGACTCCGCCCATGCGGGACTGACGAAGCGAGCGGGCTAGATGATAGCATTGTTCGCTTGCTCTGCCCAATCGATACCTATCAAAACCTTTCACAGATGCGCTTACATTCGCCGATTTCGCATGGTTGAGGACTGTGAACAGTATTTCATTGTAAGAAAGGATCTAGAACCGTAAATATGGCTCTGCTACAAAGAAAAAAGGAAGTAGGAGAAAAGAAGAAAGGTAGGAAAAAAGCCAAGCTTGGCTGAACGAGATCCATTGAGGTCGCCTTCGACATGTGGACGAGCGAGACCATATACACACACTTATCCCTGAGATGCGCTTGGGCGTGACATTCGAAAATGGGATAGAATGGATTACTCGTGAAATATTTCACGAGACAACTGTCATTGTGTTCAGTGCTGGACAGAGGTTGACCACGATTGTGTCAAAGTGAAAATATTCACCAAAAGCACAGCCCGCCAGTTTTTGGAGTACGCAGCCACGCCTACCACATTTCAGGGTTTTGCTCACTAGAAGAGGAGCGCACTTAAAGACATGATCCGTGATAAAAGTCTCATGGATAGCTGCCTTTCCAATTATGAAACAGTAGCTGATAAGTAATCTCCCAAAGAAGAAAACAGGCAAGAAGCGTCCTCCAGAACAACATAAACAAAATCGCTCCCTCACAGTCACACCTCCCTGCGGTCTCTGTGCAACCCCTAGCTCACAAATCTCTCTATCACATCTCGCAGTAGTTGATATCATCCAGTGCAAAAAAAATACAAAAAGAAAACAACAAAAACGCAGAGGAAAAACTCTTGGAAGGAAAAAGGAATTTTATCAACGCGGTGTCTGAATTTGGGATTGTTACGTTTTGTGCGTCGAGGTTTTGCATCACGAAAATTGCGTCACTCGTGCTTTTTACGCGTTTCACCTCGCGAAATGAGTTGAATTGAATGTATATACCTCCAATGAGTAAACTGTAATAAAGGGGAGCAGAATTATCCATGGGCATTAGCAATGCCCGCCGCCCCAACTAAGAACAACTGAGTGGCCTCCGTCGGAGGACATCTAGCAAGTAAGGCGGTCCAACTGAGCAGGCGTTAGAACTAGAACTTACAGCGGCTGTAGCTCGCTTCTCGCTCGCTGTGCAGACGAATAGAGTGGGACAGTCTCTAGCTTGGGGGCTGTACTACTTGCACAAGGAAGGACGACCATGTACTACTCGAGCGCGCGGGGGCAGTCTTTGAGCGACACACAGGCTTTCGAATTCGGATGGAAGGCAGCATCCCCATTTTGCGTGCACAAGCGAACCTCTTTTCGATTGTCGTGTGTTTGTAAGAAATAAAAACGTCAAGACATGTACGGTGGTTCACCGAGAGTGCCTCCTTCTGAACGACTTTCAACTTCAGTCAATGCATTTTTGGACAAAACTGAATGCCGCTAAAAGCTCAAAATCCGCTCTGGAACTCTTCGATCGCCACTTCTGATGATAGTAGACGACACAGACCCTGCCATCAAACTCTTTTGATGTCGCGGTCTAAAGCTTCATCGTTTCCCACAATGGTCGCACTTCTCTTACGGTTCCACGGAGGTCTCTAGGAAGGAGCTCTACGTTAGCTACTAGCAGCCCACTCGATTCTGTCAGTCGGAAAAGAGACTTTAGGCCGCCATTGCTATAGGATGGCTGTTCCAAACATGTCCACGAGAAAGGCTTCATTCTACTTGTGGTATATAGGTTGGAAAGAAAGTCTTCTCACTGTTGTGACTTTTTTATTTTCTAACTCATCATACAGTGGGAATAGTCGACAGTACTCGTCATAGTTAGCCACTACAGTGCTCCACCCAATGGACAGGTAAGCATTCCCCTCCTTCCAGAACTGAGAAGGCTGCGAGTAGAGTAAATCAGCGCCCTCTCGACTGATGTCATCAAAGTTGCTTGAAATTCTCTTAGCTAAGAAAGCCTTAAGGAGGCGGAGCAGGTAGCAGTCGTAGGGGACTACGTCAGGAGAATATCATGAGCGGGGACTGGTCTCCCAGCCTTGCTCCTCAATCATTTGGTAGGTCTTCATAGCAGGTATGGGGTCTCGTGTACTACGAACGAGGTGACCCGAAGCTAGTCTCGGTCATGTTTTACCAACAATTTCCACCGGTTTCAGGAGCTGAGCGACACAAATGGTAGCGATGACCGTCTGTTCTTAGAGGGCAGCTCGTTCTGCAGTATCACACCCGCGTCCCAGGAACAGCACAGGAGAACCTTCTCGGAATACATGCCCGGTTTGGACTGCTAGAATGGATCTTCTCCTTGAGAGAGACAAACGGTACTGTGTGGGTTGAAATCATAGAGGACCCATCTCTCATCCCACTAAGCAGTCTCCTGGAAACTCCTTCTGACGAGGGCAGAGAAGGGGAGACTGACCAAGGGGTACCCGGGTGCACAGCGTGCCATCGGTCAAGGTATGAGTGATCCATCGAGCCAGTACTTCTTGGTAGTCAAAGGCTTACAGGCGGTGGACGACTGTCAGTTAGGTACATCCGAGTCTTGTCGCAAGACTGCGGGTGGTAGCCTCCGGACCCTCCTTGACAGCTTCGAGAACGGTGAAACCTTTCACTTCGTTGAGGCGTCCCGACCGAGGTTTGTCTTCAAGGATCGTCTCTTTTCGCGAAGCGAGCGAACTAAAAGTGAACAGTCCTGACGGTAGTAGTGTCCTCCCCCAATACACTGTTGATGTTACGGACAGCTGCCGTGGCTCCAGTGCCGCAAGGCCAGTGATAGAAGATGATGACCCGAAGATACTCCCCAAGAGCAGACCATCTAACAATCAGATCTATTCTCTTCTTAAGATCAGTGTTATATGCATAACTACAAGCATTTATCGATTTGGCACTATTTACCCTTTACTGCCCCAACCTTCCAAAAACAGGCCAGTTTTTGACCGACTTTTTTCTGCGTTGGCAGAATTGGCTGAAAATTTGTCTCCTGGGGTAGTTTGACCTCCTGAACATGAATATCACATCCGCTAGGCACGAAACCTCCTGGCGCCCGCGCCACGGGCGCCGGCGCCAAAATACCTTAAATCACCAAATTCGCTGAAAACTTGTTCTCAGGGGTAGTCTGACCTCCTGAACACGAATATCACTCTCGCGCTACGGGCGCTGGCGCCAAAATATCTCAAATCACCGGCGCCTGTGGCGCGGGCGCCAGGAAGTTTCGGACTAAGCGAATGTCATATTCGTATTCAGGAGGTCAAAATACCCCAGGAGACAACATTTGAGCCAAATCTATCCACGAAGAAAAAAGTCGGTCAGAAAATGGCTCAATTCTGGATGGTTGGCAGTAAAGGGTAAATAGTGCTATCGATTTCTGTGTTACTGCTTTCGATATCACAGGGAATAAACTCGTAAATTTATTGACTGACTCGAGACGTAAGAACAACATTTGGCTAAGATGGCTTTAAACTATTATGAAAACAAAGAATTGAGCCTGAGAAGGCCACATAGAGTATAAGCGATTTTTCATAAATAAATGGTTACATGATTGACAACGATTTCCATGCTGTACTGTACAAGAAAAATAGATACTTCATTAAATTCAGCTTCGGAACTGCCATTTCCCGAAAGCTGAAAAAGCATTCACAATGAAGCCAGTGACAATATAGGGCATATTAACTCCTCCACCCAGAAAAGAGGGCTATGCCATCTGAAAAGCACCACAAACTGCGGTCCACCACTTACAGATCGGGAAAAATGCAAAATTAATCATCTGCTCGAACTCTGTAGTGGTAAAAGCCCATGGCGCTTCTAGAGATATTCCACCCTGCCGTTATCGTAGCTACCCATGAAATGAACAGGAACGTCATTGGATAAAGGAAATACTGCGTTCGATGCAAAATAGGCAACGCTGAAAAAGAAACCCATTTTCGAAATAGAAAAAGGAATATAAAAATAAAACCTACCAGTATATCCTAAAAATGTTATGTATACGTAATAAACTGCTGCGATAAACCAAATTGTGTTACCCAGTGCAGTTGGAAGGAAGAATGGAGAGTCCACCAAAGCTGCAAAATTAGTGACTTTAATAAAAGTACAACTACGCCTCATTGAAGCAAAAAGACGTTCTAGGTTTTTAATATGATTTAGAGGAATAAATGGAAACCGTTTTTTGCACTGTCCACCCACAGCGGTCAAGTCAACATGTTAACAACTAACAAGTGAACGTGTTAACAACTAGCGGCCCCATTGACCCTATCGCAAGAGCAGCTGAATACCACGTAAGCGCATTCACTGTAAAAGTAGTTGCATAGTAAATCTGCGCTATCGGAAAACCAGACGCGTCTCACAATTTCACACGAGATCGCGCTTGAAGCGACATGTAATGTTTATACCCATAAGGTACTACATGAAAGGAAGCCAACAGTTTAAGCGAGAAGAAGAAGGAAGAGCGAGGAGAGGGAAGGGGGAAAAGAAAAAAGGAACGAGGAGGAACGCTCCGCGATTGACAGATGTCCTCTAACGATCCCACCTATAATGGAGATAAGGTGAAATAAGGTACCGTAGATAACTGCAACTTGGACCATCGTCACATGTGTATGTGAATGGGGGAGACGGGCAAGAGAATCGTAATTTGCCGCTCCGCCGCGCGCGGCGATGTTCGCGGCGTTTTCTTAACTCGTGTTAACCTGTCGATTGGAGCACCGGACTTCATGTAGACCCCGTCATCGTAGACATTCATGACTATTTTCGGTTCTGAATTGCCTGTTGTCGCCATCTACTACCTGGAACCATCGTCATTTGCGGTGCGACGTCGCACGCGACGCCCTCCAGCGCGGTGAATTCACGATTCCCTTGTCACATACCCAGACAGTCGTAATTCGCCGCGCCAGTGGGCGTCACGTGCGACGTCGCGCACGCTAACGACGACGATTTCAGGTAGTCGAGAATAGACAATGCATAGCCAAAATTGGACATGAGTGTCTATAATACCATGTCCTTGTCTATATAAAATCCGATGTTCCAATCGAAACGGTAGTGCAACTTAAGGAAACGTTGCCGCGCGGACGAAGCGGCAATTTACGATTCTCTTGCCCGTCTCCCGTCATCCATCAAGCGCCCGCGAAAGTGAGACAACCATCGAGGTCACGAAGCGCATCACATGGGCATGACTCCCACAAAATGGCTGAGCACAGGTTCTGTCTTTAAGCAGGAACAAGTCCCAGAGAGAGAAAAAAGTAGTAAGCTGAAGATGTGTGACATGCTTTGAATGTGTCACGTTTCGATAACAATGAAGGATAGCAAATATAACACCATTACAATTTCAACCGGAGCTTAGAAGATCAGCAGACGATGAAAAAAGATCATGAGAAAAAGCTCGATAAATTCGTTCAGAGAATCGTTTTGGAAACTCTAAAGGTGGATTTGATCTCACCGTCTCAAGGCGCGTGTAACGATATGTACCTCATGACAAATGACCAGACTGACCTATTGACCTTCTCTGGTTAGTAGTTTTCAAAAAAGAAATATAACTACGATCAAGATGTATCAAAATGCAAGAGACGAGTATCCTAATCGCGAGTCTTTGACATAACTTAGCTTTCATTCCCCAGTCTCCCAAAATAAGGCTATTTTTACCAACTTTTTACGCTGGAGGCAGATGTGCCTGAAAATTTGTCTCCGAAGTAGTTTGAATTCCTAAAGGCAAACATCACATCTCCTTAGCGAGAAACTGTATGTCCCTGAACTAACTTTTTGAAAACAAAATGAAACAATCGCGCAGATTTGAGTTATATAATAACTGTCGGACAGCATTGGGTGACGCCGTCCCACAAGACAAACTGGCCCTCGTCCACCATTGACAGAGATCGTCGTCAACGCGCTGAGTAGATATGCTATGTTCAGGGGGGTGGACTAGCCTAGGAGGCAAGTTTTCAGCGTTTGGCGATTTATGGTATGTTAGCGCTAGCACCTGCAGGGCAGGCGCCAGGCAGGTATTCATTTCAGAGGGGCAGGCTACCCTTAGGGATACGTTTCCAGTAAACTTGGCTGTTCGTACATCTTATTATCAGAACAATATAGTGGCAGACAACATTGTCTGCCATCGGCGTCAACGTGTTTAAAGATGATAAAACGAAAGCAAAAAAAAATTAAGAACAGTCATGATCAACTCACTTGGATAAATTATGGGAAGAAGAACATGCAAAAGGATCAACATAGGGAAGAAAGCGTTGAGGTGCACATCGAAACAATATCCCCATTCCACATCTTGATCTTGCACTTTTCGAAGACATCGATTCGAGAACCACCTTGAATTCACTGTTGTTATCGTAATCAAAAGCAAAAATATAGCCCAAATCATACGAGACGCTAGGTGATTTCGGGATCCTTTCAAATGACTTACCACAGAAGTGTTGCGACTACTAGCCCGACACCAATACAGTCTACGAAGACGACCCACAAAAAGAATTTGATAAATCCCCATGTGGTCAAGCCGAGGGCAACAGCATAAAACACCGAAGAAAAGAAGAGAGATAACGACAGCAACACCAAGAATGCGGGATCATCTCGAGCAAATTGATCCTTTGTACCTGAATACGAAGCGAAAATAAGGATCTATTACCTATACAGGGGGGGGGGGGGGCAATAAAAGAAAGTCACTTTTCTTCTTGACTTTCGAGGCGCTATAAGTTACACTTTATTAAATTCTGATCGGACATTTCCACCACCATCTTAAAGAGCATATTAAATACTATCATGACACTCCGCCACAGCCTTCTGGACGAGCGCCATCGAGAGATTCTGGCACGCGACCGCGATGTGGTGCCTGAGATCAGCGAGATAGTCGATTTCTCCGCCACCGTAGACCACCCTATTGAACTCCGCCCGAACCGGGTAATTGAGGGATTCAGGTCAGGTGACCTACTTGGATATTCCATCTCCTTTAGGTACTCAACGCCCTTCCATTCCAAGTAGGCGAGAGTTTTTCCAACGCCCTCCGATTCCATGTGGTGGCACCCAATGCTGTAGCAGTACAAAGTTTCCAAGAAGGTACGGGCGACGACATGTGGGGAGGATATTCTTCTCGAGTTGCTCGATGTAACCGCCAGCGCTCACCTTCAGTCCGGAGTCCACGAAGAAAATATGGTCTTTCCATACCAGGTACGTCCGGCCCATACCATCAACCCGTGCCTTGGCGACTGTGGTGAAGATGATGTAGACCGTAGCGACGTTGTCGGAGCTGTTCGATGTTGGAGGTCTTCCAGATCGAGAGTACTGGTCTCCAGGTAGCTATCCATGGGTGACTCCATACTAGAAGTTTCGCAGCTGTTTGGAGGTGACAATTCCAAAGGTCTTCTCCAGTCAGGCTGCGACTGGAGATGACTTCATATTTTGGTGTACATGAAGGTGATGGGCGAGGCCAGCTCCTGCTTATAGAGGAACATCTTGGGTATCTTCCGCCCTGGTACTCGTATCCACGTCCTCTGTCTGGGCGAAAACTTTGCTGATATGTGACTCGGTCGAAGTGACTTTTTTTTGCCCCCCCCCCGTGTAGATCTCTATAAAGGCATTAGAAAAATTGATTAAACAAGCCTAGAGGATCCCAAGTTAGAACAGCACCCTTCAAACCTTCCCTACATATAACCTTTGAAACTCACGCTTTCTGTATATGAAATTTCGATATACTTTTTGAGGTTGAATTAGTAAGTATAACATCTGCCAAGATGCAAATTCGAAGTCCATCTGAAACACAATATCTTGCAACTATAGCACAAAGCGTCTTCTTTTCACAGCACTTTGAAGAAACTTCAAAAGGTCAGAAACATCCCATACTTTTGACCAAAATGGAAAATTATGGCACCAAAACTCTACAATACCTCTCAAAAGATTCGACAGCTGCTTACAAACCTGTTTGAAATGAACGAAACGACGTGCAAAACGCGACAGTTTTGCCCAGGCCGACATCCTCACAGCAGCGAAACAACCAAAGCGATCGCTTCTAAAAAGAAACATCTAGCAAGATTGAGCAGAATCTAGCAACATTGAGCAGAGTTGCTCAACAAAGAGTGAAGAGAAGCAAATAGTAAGGAAAATGTGGAAGACTCGATCGCAAAGCAAGTTGTATGACCCTCATATGTAAGACAAAGACGCAGCCAGAAACAGATGTAAAAGAAAGCCAATTCTCATTGTATCTTGGAGTACAAAGATAATGATCTTTGGTAATGAAGTCTGCTCCTCCACGTGGTGCCACGGGGCACTGTTCGTCTCTGCGAGCTGCTAAACGCAGACATCCGAATGCAGGTGAGGCCTTCGTGACGGGCCGCTTACGAACCTCATGTCACATCACAATGTTTTAGCTATGCCACATGAATCACGAGATAATGCTACGGCGTCCGCGGGAGCCGACGCGCACTCGTATGGCCCGGCGAGTGTGGAAAGTATGCGAGGGTCCTCGATGCAAGGACGGCGTCGGTGGACGACCAGGCTAGTCCAAAAGTCTCCTCTGTGAATTGGCAGAGGCTTTGGAGCGCAGACGAATCGATCTCCGTGCAGTGTAGGAAACAAGATGGTCCAGTTGCAAGTCAAGAGACATTGGTCGCGGCTTCAAAGCCATTCTTTGCGGCAAGCAAGGACCACTAACGGTGCGGCCATAATCATCTCACGACGTTTCCGTGACTTGATAGCTAGCGTGGAACGTTTCGACGACGTTTGCATGGTGGTTTCAGTCATGGGGCACGTAACGTCGATGGCGAACGCATGCTGGAATATGCAGAAGCCCATAATCTCGCCATCGTGAACACGTTCCGTAAACGTGACTCCCACCTGATTACCTTTTACAGCGGAAACACCAGGACACAAATAGACTTTGTTCTTGTCAGGCATCGCGATCAAGGACTTGTCACAGACGCGAAGACCGTGCCGTATGAGACAGTAGCCTCGCAACATCGCCCGCTTATCTGTACGCTGAAGATAACACCGCCCAGGTCGAAACAGGTAGAGCGATGTGGTCCCGAGAGAATCAAATGGTGGCATTGAAGGAGAAGGAGGCAGCTGTGATCTCTCGCATTCGATTACCAACCGTCACAACTGTCGACGAAACTGGAAGAATGCTGCCAAAGCGATTGCCCAAGCCGCTCAGAAATGCTGCCAAAGCGATTGCCCAAGCCGCTCGCTCTGAACTTGGCACAACGAAACCTGGAAGGCGTAGAATTGAAAAGCAGGCATGGTTGTGGACAGATGACGTCAGGGTAAAGGTTCGCGAGAAGAAGAAGCACATGTTCTTAGAAGACAAGTCAGCTGACAACTGGCGGAAATACCAGGAAGCGAAAAAAGCGGCAAAGAAGGCTGTGGCGGCTGCAAAAGCCTCTCACTTCGATGAAATCAGCAAGAAGCTGGAAGCGTGCGATGGAAGAGCGGCACATTCACCGTCTTGCCAAAATTTTTTTTGGCATCAACGACGAGAGGGGCCGCCTTCTGATGGACCGAACAAAGGTGCTGGTGCGATACTTTGAGAAATTTCCACAGTGGAATATGAACACCCGGCCATCCCCTGCGCCTTACCAACATACGGTCCCGTTCAGAAGATAAGCGTGGAGGAAACGGAGGCGGCTCTCAAGAAGATGAAGCCAGGCAAGGCAACGGGCCCTGACGACGTGGCGGTCGAAGTATGGAAGTCACACTGCTGGCATGCTGCCGAATGGTTGACAATGTTTTTCAATCAGGTCGTTGCAGAGAAGAAAATGCCCGAAGTATGGCAAGAGAGCACGACGGTACCGATCTGGAAGAAAAAAGGCAGTCCTGCAGACTGCTCAAATTATCGTCCAATTCGCTTGCTCTCGCACAGCATGAAAATTTTTGAGCGAATTGTTGATAAGCGTCTTGTGATATCGTCCAGCTCTCTACCAACCAGTGTGGCTTCGTGACTGGCTGTAGCACCATCGACGCCATACATGCCGCTCGCCTCTTGCTGGAGAAACATCGTGAGAAGAAGAAGCATGTCCACCTAGCCTTCCTTGATCTGGAGAAGGCATTCGACCGTGTCCCACGTGAAGTTATATGGTATGCCTTACGGCAGCACGGCGTTCCCGAAGAGCTGATTGAGTGGGTACGCATCCTGTACTTCAGCCCGACGAGTCGAGTGCGAAGTCCAGCAGGCATTTCGATGGGGTTCCCCATCACAGTTGGGGTGCACCAAGGCTCAGCGCTTTCCTAGGGTGAGCGCGCGTGTGATTGCAGTCTGCTCTCAGTGGCGGTCTATGAGTGGCGTTCTCGATTGTTCTTGAGCTCGAGGTTCCCGGGAAGCGGCCTAAAGGACGCCCCAAGCAGCGCTGGTCAGACACGTTGCATGCGGACTTAAAGATAGTTGGCGCCCATCCCGATCAAGCATTCAATCGGGAGAAGTGGCGTGACAAAATAAGACGAGCGGACCCCGCTACAGAGCGGGACAAACGCTGAAGAAGAAGAAGAAGAAGTACAAAGATAATGATCTTTGGGGAAAAAATGCAGAAAAGTTACGAGAAGAACAAAGAGCGGAATATGCTCACGTTGAATATGTAGAATAGCTTCCAGGTGTGGTAAATCCACTTCGAGCGGTTGCTGATCCAAAGCGAAATTGTTTTTCCACAGAAGGTGACTGTATACCAGACGTTCCCGGCTGATACGCAGATGGACCTATAAAATGATGCTGACCAGTTAAGAATTTCGTATTCTACAGACATATACTCTCGAAAGCTACGAATGAAGAACTTCGTAACGCCATAGTGTCAGCACCTCAGCTGCCTCTGCTGACAAAAAAAAATACAGCTCGAATTGATAAAGAAGGAAAATTGATACGTGACTTGACGCGGAACGTGTTAATGCTTTCCTCTGCTAACCCTTTATTTAAAATCCCAATCAACCCTCATTGTCACTACGACTAACCACTGAAGTTGCTTTTGACTAGCATGCGATCCTAGCCATTATGAAGGAGATCACCCAAATAAAAAAGGCGAACTCACAAGTTATTATTTCACTATGTATATTTGCAGTTGAGGGGGGGGGTCACGCGGCCATACGGCTTATCATGCTCCAGGGAACGCCGAAACGCACAATCGTTTACATCAGGACCTAAGCAATCAAAGTGGCAATGCTGCCATGTATCAAGCCAATTAATAAGAAACGCCTTGCTAGTGCGGATGCTGCAACTCGGGACTAACACCCAGCCATGGTTAGGCGAAGGATTACGTACCAACTGGTTAGTCGCGCCACCGTGCGGTCCAGTCACGATAGTTTATTTCCTACTGCACTTTTTCGCTATCCATAACGCCCCAAATTGCAATATTAAATGAATTCTCAAGGATATGTGCGACAATAGAGCACGACGACGACACGTCCTCAAACCTCTATGAAACATACATTGCGTACTGTAGCGCTCCTCTTTTTTAACCGTATTAAACATTTCCTGTCTGAGCTAGTGAAACGCAAGTGAGCGCATATTTTCTAATTTGGGGATCTGAAGAGAAAAGGAAAAAAGCACTCACCCGTGGTTCTAAAGTTGTTTTGCATCGAATATCAAGGCAGTTTGTGGTAACAGCTTGAGTAGTATCTCAAAACCGTTCGTCTGCAAGTGCATTTAAACGACAGGTGACAACTTAACAACACAACTCGCTTCTTTCCGCAACTGCAGTAATACTTGCAATATGCAAAGGCCAGTGACAAAGACCACAAGAAAGAGATCAAATCGTAACATCTTTATCACAACAGAATAATAAATAGACCCATTGTTCAAAACTAGACGTGGACAATCCGTTTCTTCAATAAACTCCGAAGAACAGCGAAAGGCGAACAGCAGCGATACCTAAACAAAGGGAATTGGTGCACTAGCAAGCGTTGCTTCTCCGAAAAAGTGTTCTTGCTTTCCCTAAACACGCTTACAGAGCTAGATATTGTGTTTTTCTTTTTTAGGGCTGGACCCTTTCCGATTCTTCAGAATTATGATCTTCTCCTTTTATTAACCATGTTGAGGCTGAGTCGATACTGTTCGTCAGCGTTTCGAGCGGAAAGGAAAGTATAGGTATCAATCCAGCATTTTCAGCGCTTAGGCTACGGATACTTATACTTCCCTTTCCACCCAGAAAGCTCAGAACGCCGACGAAGCGTATGACCGCGAGCTGAATGGAGCGTTGCAGTAACAAGTGACAGAACCTATCAAGCACATAGTCGGAAGGTCGATTCCCTCGCTGGCTAATGCTTCTTACATGCACCTCTTACATCCCTCAGGGATCTGGTAATTGGTATCACTCGTCTGGGAATGAAAACCCTAATTACATCGGCTCAGCATGGTATTGGCAAGATCGCATTCAAAGACTACCACTTTCCAAATGGAAGTGTGGGGCATGCTTCGAGATGGGCATGAAATCGAGCTTTATCCGTTGCTTCCTTCTATATTTACCTCCCGTCAGTCTATGCACAGCAGACATATGCTCAGTAAAGGAATGATTAGCATAAACTTACTGACGAAAACCCTCAATTGTAACGACAAAAAAAGTGTAATCGTAAGTACATCTTCACATAATAAGAACCCGAGGCGGAGATGGTATAGTGACAAGTGGCACGCAAATCCCAGATCGGCTCCCGCCAGGGCCGACCAAGTCTTCCGTCCTCCGGGAACAATAAATTGGTACCACATTCATCTGGGAGGATAACCACTGACTTGTACATGCTGGCCCCCGTCCCTAATTCATTGTACAGGTCATTAGCATTCATTGAGCCGCTAGGATTCTGAATGAAAGTACATAGTATGCGCACCCTATCCCATAAAGAGACTGATCAACCGATTTCATTGTTTATTCTCCAGAAAGACGCACATTTTTCCGATATCCGTTCTTTATAAGTGGCACATTCGAATCAAAATAAACACTCGGCACGCTTTTTAGCAAATAAAGTGACATCACACAAAATAAATTGCCCCGAGAATGGCCCATGGT